GTGTTGGGACGCCGCGCGCCCCATGATGAGTCAACGCACTCAACGGAGTCGCAACAGCCGCTTGCCGTGATTCAGTCTTCTATGCTCAATTCTGATTGGCCCCTTTGTCGGACAATGTCTCTCGCGTTCGCTTAAAAGTACATACACCCTATGTTTGACTGACTTTGCGCTTGCTTGCACTGACGCGCTGTACGGTGCTCCTGGCTGAGTAGACGCTTTGTCTGGCTAACTTGTCTTCTCACCGTCTCTCTACTAAGGGCTCTTGTTTTACCGGTTCGTGCTGATTAGAAGTACCAAGGCGGGTCATAACAAGGAGAACTAAACTGGATGCAACACTGGCCACTTTTTCCAATGTAGGCCGCGAGATTTATTCTTTAGTAACAGTAGACTTTGCGCTGGCACTATTGCACCACCTACCCCTACTCAATTTCAGCTGATGTCAAGACAGATGAAAAATTCGATCCCAATATTTGGCTAGTGAGCTGATGTACTCGATAGAGCCAATTTGCGAACTCTTGAGACTTAAACTGAGGAACGAAGTGCACAGGTTGTATTAGTTCTGCGCCGGACGACTGAGTTGCGTACCGACGAAGACGGTGGGGAAGACTGGAAAGCTTGTGTCATCTTATAGATCCCAACCCGCTGCGATCGACGTCCGCGCGATGATGGCCGCACCCAACCAACGGAGCGAAAGTAACGAACTATGTGAAGCTATAAACCGTATAAAGCCAAATAGTTGCTACCCGAAATCATTCCTGGAATGAAGCCCTTATATAGCACGGAAGTGCTCGTCCACGTCAGCAAATGTTGTAAACTCAAACCGTCGTGTGTTTTTTAGATTGGTCTGTACTTGCGGATTCGTGAATCCGTTTCCAAATTCGCACCAACGGCGGAGAAGTAAGCGCAAAGGCAGACTTCTTCCATATGAAACGAAGAGGGAGGTGATTTACAATTCCCATTCAGAAGGCACTTCGTTCCTCAGAACCCTTGTCCCAGATCTTAAGTTAATTTGAGAATGCGAAAGATATGATAGCTAGTTAAAGAACGTGGTCCTGTTGGAAGCCTAAGCGAATGCTAGCAATGTGTGTGGGGGGGAGTATGCGGTAGGAAAGTGAAACATTTTCAGAAAGGTAAAGATAGTGGGGAGCGGATGAAAAGAGCCGATCTATCGTAGGAATGACCTTGGTTAGACCATGAAGTCATCATCTGAGAATTATTGAAAGACCTTTGCAATAAGGTCCGATGAGCTGAACTGGGATGCGTAGGATTTACAGGAAAGCGTGTGATGTTCTGCCGTCAAGAGGGCTGTCAGTAAGGCAAATAGGAGACATATCCCGGGGGCAAGGACAGTGATGGGAAAGATCTATCCTTTTAAAGCAAAAAAACTACTCTTAACTGATAATTAGTCAAGTCAAGTTTACTAATGGAAATATAGGCAAACGACTTTGAACTCCCTACTGGTACAGAATAGTTGAGAAAAGCATCGGTACTGCCGAAAATTTCAAATAGAGTCCTTTACATAATTTAAGGCGACTACTCACTTGTTCCAAGTAATATAATCACATGGGGTCTATCAGTCAGTATATTTGAGGAAAAAATAGGCTTTCGCCTTGGGAATCCCTATTTTTCACATTTAAATCTCAACAATGTTAACAAGTTTTCAGTAAGGAAAATACAGACAATCACATGGTGCAGTGGTGTTTCAAGGTTAATTTGTCACACAGTTCACGTCGTGCTGTGCTGTATATGTTTGAATGTTTCCACAGATTAGGACATAACAATCACCTAAGGTAGGTTATTACACGGTTCCACGACCCGATTAGAGAAAAAATACTTCCTCATGTCCAATTGTCCTTGT